AACAGCATTAACATTAATACTAAAAAAAATGTACAAATAGGGCTATCAAATGATAGCAAATTACACAGAAATAACTAGAACAGCTATTCCTTCCCCTGCTACCCGCAGAAACCCAAAACAGAAAATAAAACTAGATATCTACACATTACAAACAAATACACAAGAAGAGAAAGAAGGGAGCAACTCAAAGACATCAAAGGCTAGTGAATTACAACATAAATCAAACTCCTTTCTGTCAGATAATTTCCTAACAAGAGCCTTATTCTTCAGTTTAAAGCAGCACATATCCCAATTTTGAAGAATAGCCATTCTCATACTCCATCTGACAGCAAAGAGCCATTTCCCTTCTGCACAGCCATCAAACCAGCATCTTATTGAATGTCTCTGAATTTGTTCTCCTTCTTTCTCAACCATGCAAGTAATTTCCAGTTGATTTGTAGAGATGTTTAGAGCACTGACAGTACAAACCCACTGTCCTACTCTCGGGGAAAACTGCACCTCTGAAATCACTGGATTCAAAAGTTGACTACATCTATTACCCTCTAATCTGACCACAGACCCAGCATACTCTAGCCACTCTTCCTTTGCTTTTTGAACCACCTGAAATTCACAATAGCTGTCCTTGTTGAATAACCATGCATTTCTTGTTTTCCAGAGCCACCACATAATGTAGGTTGATAGGCTTATTCTATCTTTGAGGTTGCCTGAAAAACAAGTGCCACAAAAATTTCCCCACCACAGTTTAAAATCAACATCATCCCTTTCAAAATACTTCCATTCCAGACCACTCAGTTTCCAGACAACCTTAGCTCTATTGCAATTAAACAGAATATGGTTAAGATCTTCATAGCCTGCTCCACACAAATAGCAAGTACTATCAACCTGTAACTTCCTTTTCACAAGCTGGTCACTGGAACTCAGGAATTTGAACCAACACTTCCAAATGAAAAACTTAATCTTGCTCTTGATTGGCAAACCCCAAGTGAATTTCCAAAGGGCAGTCCAACTCCTATCTGGGTTACTAGTAGAAGCAACACTCCTAGTAGCTTCAATGTGCTCTAAAAAAGCATTATATGCAGACTTCACACTAAAGTGACCCTTTTTGCCAAAATGCCAAATGAATTTATCTCTTTTACCCATAGTGGAGATATGTATTTGAAGTATCAGATCAGCATCTTCTGGTAAGAAAGATTGTCTCACCAGCTCTCTATCCCACACACCCATATCTTCACAAATCAAGTCACTAACCCACTTAAGTCTGGACCTATCAATGGGAAAGCAACTAATAGGAGTAAAGCTAGAGGTTCTAGGGATCTAGGGGTGATCCCAAATCAAAATACTATTACCATTCCCTACTTGATACCTGACACCTAATTTCAGCAGCTTAATGACTCCAACCCAGCTTCTCCACAACCAAGAGTCCCCATTTTTAGGCTTAACCTCTAACAGACTACTCCTATGGAAGTATCTCCCCTTTAGCACCTTACTAATAAGGAGATTGGGATTAGTTATGAGCCTCCACAATTGTTTAACTAGAAGAGCATCATTAAACACACTCAAATTTCTGAATCCCAACCCACCCTTATCCTTAGGTTTAGCAATGACATCCCAAGTAGTCCAATGGATCTTACTACCCCCCTCCTCATTTCTCCCCCACCAAAAATTAGCTATATGCTTACAAATATCTTTACCAATACTAACAGGGAGCTTAAAACATGCCAGAACATATGTTGGAAGAGCTTCAAGAACAGATTTAATCAGCACTTCCCTACCATCATCACTCAAAAAATTATTTTTCCAATTCATTAATTTTTTAGAAACACACTCAGACACAAAACTGAAAGTATTCCTCTTGGATCTTCCTATGCCTAAAGGCAGTCCCAGGTATTTGGCAGATTGGACACAATTGATGCCATTCAAAATAGCACAGATCCTATCTTTAACTATGAGAGGAGTGTTTCTAGAAAAAAGAATAGAAGACTTAGACATATTGACCTTTTGGCCAGAAGCAAAACCAAAGACTTCCAAAATGAAATTGATCAACAAAGCCTGATACTCATTAGCAGAACAAAATAAGATGGTATCATCCGCAAAAAGCAGGTGAGAAATAGCAGGAGAAAATCTACTAATCTTAACACCAGAATAATGATAAAGACTTCTAGCTTGGGAAATTAAATTCGATAAAGCTTCTGATAAAATTATGAACAAATAAGGAGAGATGGGGTCACCTTGTCTTATACCCCTACTAGGCCTAACAAAACCCAACACTTGACCTTTAATACTGAAAGAAAAAGAAGTGGTACCAATGCAAGATGAGATCCAGGAAATAAATGCTTCGGCAAAGCCCATCTTCCTACAAACTCTAATAAAAAAGGACCACTCTACTCTATCATAAGCTTTTTCCATGTCTAGTTTAACAGCCATAAGATGGTTATTACCTTTTCTTTTACTATTAATGTAATGCAAGCACTCATTGGCTAAAATCACATTATCCAAAATTTGCCTACCAGGCACAAAAGCTGCTTGAGAGGAATTTATACAAGGGCTCAAAAAAGGCTTAAGTCTATTAGCAATAATTTTGGAGATGATCTTATATATAACTGTACACAAAGCTATTGGTCTAAAATCAGAAATAAAAACAAGATTATTTTTTTTTTGGGATTAAAGCAAGAACAGTATGATTAATGCCTTTGGGCATTTGGTTGCTCTCAAAAAAATTGGAAATAGCAGCACAAAGATGGGTTTTAACAATAGGCCAACAATTCTGGTAAAAACAAGTGGTCATGCCATCTATACCTGGAGCTGAAGATGGTTCCATGCTTTTGAGGGCCTCATAAATTTCTTCCTCACTCACTCCTCTGGTAAGATCTTGATTCATCACTTCTGTAATGGAAATTGGAATGCCATCTAAATCACCATCATCACTCTGAGGGTTATCAGACCTGAATAACTGTTGATAATGCCTTTCTAATTCCTTCATTAATTCATGCTCACCCACACACTGTCTGCCAAACCTATTCACAATGTTGTCTAGGCTCCCTGTTTGTCTCATCTGATGCACAGAAGCATGGAAATACTTGGTGTTTTTATCTCCTTCTTGCAACCACTGGATCCTAGACTTTTGTTTCCAATACCTTTCTTCATCTAAGTAGGCCTTATGCAGCAAATCCCTCCATTTCAGCCATTCCTCCCAATTTCTACCTACCCCTTGCACCTCTAGATCAAACAAAGCTTGTTTGCACATCTCAATCATTTTAACTGAATTAGTGGTGTGATTCTTTTTCCATTTTAACAAAGCCATTCTCACATTCTTGATTCTATTCTGAATACTATACAATGCAGGGCCACTAACTTCAAGATTCCAGGCTTTCTCCACAGTTTCCATAAACCCCTCTAACTTAACCCATCTAGAATCATAGACAAACCTTTTGGGGTTATATTTCACAGTGCAATCAGTCTCCAATACTATCATACTGTGGTCAGAGGCAATGAGAGAAATGTGCTTAATCAAGGCATTAGGAAAATTAGCAAGCCAGTGAGCTGAAAAGAAAATCCTATCTAGCTTCGCTTCTACAAAATCATTTCCTTGCCTAAGATTAGACCATGTGAAGTGATGCCCTTGGATCTTAGTCTCACACATGCTCATATCTCTCACAAAGGACCTGAATGGAAAATAACTACTCTCATTCCTAATAACTCCCCCTACTTTATCATCCCCTGAGAGAATATCATTAAAATCCCCCCCTAGGAACCAATGATCTCCCCACCCCACCTTGAGACTTTTTAACACATCCCATTGCCCATATCTGGTTTCAGGGTCAGTACTAGAATAGACAAAAATACGCCATTGAACCAGATTGCTACCAGAAATACAGAATTTCACCCCAATGCAAAAATCCAAACAAAAGGGATCCAAAATGCAGACACTACTAGACCAACAAAGCAAAAGGCCACCCCTAGTACCAACTGGCTTACTATGGATCCACCTATCATCAATTTTGAGTTTTTTACAGACACTAATAACAAATTT